TTTTATGTCATTGGGAATTTTGCCTGAGTAAAGAGTTCGAAGTTGGATCCATGATCCCTAACAATGGAGAAATCTCAGAGGGTCAATTTGAATACTTTATGAGATCAGGTAAAATGTGCCTGTGTGTCTGAACTTTCCTATACCACTTTGGTCTGGAAATAGGATTGGATACTTTCCTGTACTTCCTGGTTTCATCTGAGCTGTATAAAATCACAACAACATTTAATGAGCTTTTTAATTTCTGACCCAGGATGAAAAGAAAATGCATGAAAATGCACGACAAGAGAACAAAAATATTTTTATATTGTAGTACCTGGGAACCCTAGTCATAGGCCAGGTAGTCCCTGTCCCAACTGGCTTACCATAAAGTTCTGGCTTAATACTGTTCAAAATTTCAGGTGGATGTGCAAGTTAGTTCTTACTATTATTATCTAAACAGGTTTTCTCCCATGCCTAATAACAGATTAAATGGCACACCTCGGTAGTTAGGACCTTCTGCTTTCTTGTGTGTTTTTTAGAAAGGCTGGAAATCTAATCTGGTTCGTTCTTTTATTGCCAACTTATTCTAGGATTTGGTAAAAAGAAGGCTTCTTAAACGATCCTCTGACATAACCAGCACAATACAATTCAAAGGGGAAGATCATGAGGAAAATTCTTCAGGTGTGCCAGCAAGTGATTTTCAAGAGATTAAAGGAATTTCCGCAGAGTCCAGGAGTTACCTCTCATCACAAAGTGACAGTGCTCTGAAACTAGATATGGAATTTCCATCAAAAATTTTATCAACCCCACACACAAGTTCAGTCAGTGAGAAGCTAAAACATGTACCCAAAGATGCAGCTGACCCAGTTGCCAAACTGCTATCTGAAAGAGAAAGAACCAAGGTTGAAGAAAGGAAATTAATGACAAGCTTTGATACAGAGACCAATGAAAAAACCTTCAAACTAAACATTCTTCGCAGACATTCAGGAACTGGAAGAGAGAAGAGAGAAAGGTCTCCCAAAAACAATGAGATTCGGTTACCAGACCACAGGTAAGATTTGTGAATATCTCTGAAGAATGTCTGTAAGAATTCAGCACTGAAGGGTTCAGGAAGTCTTGTAGTAAATTAACATTGATTGGTGCAGGAACCCTAGATATGATTTCTGTTTACCTCAGAGTCACAAGAAGAGGTGCTCAAGAAAGACACCATGTATGCTTTAAGAACTAGCACGATGAGCTCTAGATGCTGTGAAGAAAGTAATTAAGGCAGTGTTATTTATCCCTTCACATGACCCAAGAACCATGGTTTACCTTACCCAATGAAATTAATAGACTGCAGATTTAACACAAACAAAAAGAAGTACTTCCTAACACAGCAAACAGTGAACCTATGGAATGCATTGCTGTTGGGGATGGTCTAGACAGTACTGGGTCCTGCCATGAGGGCAGGGGACTGGACTCGACCTCCTGACGTCACTTCCAGTCCTAGTATTCTATGATTCTGTGGGATGCTGTGAAGGCCAAAAGTATAACTGGGTTAAAAAAATAGTTAGTGGGCAGGAATCCAACCTCATTCTCTGAGTATCCCTAAGCCTCTGTTTGCCAGATGCTGTACAAGACAACAAGGGATGGATGGATTGATAATTGCTTTGTTCTCCTGGGCTAGTAAGTCCTTTGCTTTGGCTCAGTAAGGCTGTTCTTTTGTTCTTATGAACTAAGTCCTGTTGCATCTGTGAAGTCCAGGGGTGGCCTGTCCATATAGGCAAACTAGGCGGTCGCCTAGGGTGCCAAGCTAAATGGGGCGCCAAATGGTGGCGCAATATCATTGAGGGGTTTGGAGCGGGGGTGCTAATTGCATGGTTCGCCTAGGGCGCCAGTTGCTGGCAGCTAGTCTAGGGCCACCGCTGGTGAAGTCTGAGAATATGGCCTCAGAGTGCTCATGAAAATGAGGCAATATAGAAAGTGATCTTCAAGTCTCAATCTAAGTGGAAGGGAGTGTTTCCTTAATCCCATGATCCCCAAATCATTTTGATGGCTTTCCCTCGTCTTCTATTCTCATATGTCACTATCTTCACATGGATTGTAAACTCCTCAGTTCAGGATTTGAGGTGTATTATTTCTTTGTATATCTCATAGTGTAATCCACACACCTTCCGGATGTGGTGTGGTATCCCATTTAGTGGCACCGAGACTACTTACAGAGGGAATAATTAGTCTGATATGCAGCCTTAACTAAGTCAGCTGACTTTTAGCTCACATGGTGGGGGTTCATGTTCTAAGCTCCAGAGGTCCCAGGTGTTATTCCACCCACAGATGACTGTGGTCTGCCAGCATTACACTAGCACTTTGGGACCCTGAGCTGATCAGCACTTCAGGCTGCTAATCTACTATATATTTTAGAAATGTGCATTGTCTGTCTGTGAGTCCATTTGTTCAAGAAGTCCTCCTAAATGATAAGAACTAGGATTGCCAAATTCAGTATGCAGCTTCCTCTTATCATAACTTAAAGCAAAGTAAGGGTTTGGTTGTGCCAGGACAATCGGATGTGCCTGAAATCAAATTGTTTTCCATAATACAGAAAGGGAGGGGTCTGATAGGCGGAACAGTTATGTTCTGCATTGACCACAGGGGAGCAGTGAGTGTGGGGGGCAGTTAAACTGCAAAATGACCACAAGGAGCAGCCACACCAGTAAGAGAAGGGCCAGCTGGGACTGGGATTCTGCATGTTGCAGGTCACCAACCCGGGCAAGTTGCCCCCTACCCCAAGGCTTCAGGCCAAACCCCTTCCCTTGGCCCTTGGCCTCAGCACCAGCTCTGCGGGGGGGGGGGGGGGACTACATTTCCCAGCAGTCCCACCAACCAATGGCCCCCCTGGAAAGCAGCCGCCAGCCAGGGCCAGGCAGTGCAGCCCCCATTGCCACAGGCCACCCTTCTGGGGGGAACCACCAGCACGTCAATGTAGTCCCAGCCCCCAGGGAGGAGCTGCTGGCTGGGTAGCACAGAATCTGGTACATCTGCTAGTGTACATCTGCAATGCCGGGTACATCTCCTAGTGCAGTGGTCACCAACCAGTAGATCAGGATCTACTGGTAGATCTTGGAGCCTCTGACAGGTGATCCTGATGGGTTTGACCAAGAGGCTATCAAGTGCCAGCACTTCAGCTGCTCCTTACCCGCACTGCTGCACATCTCCTACCCTTTGCCTTGGAGCTGCCCCTCCCCCTGAGAGTGTCCTGCTTTCTGTGCAGGGCAGGGGAGGGGAGGGAAAAGAGGGGTGCTGATGTCAGGGTTCCCCATTCTTTATCCTTTCTCCACAGAGCAGAGAGGGGGCACAACAAGACTAGGGATGGAGTTTGCTGGCTGCTTTAGGGAGTGGTTCAGGGCCAGGGCACGGGTGAGCCTGCCTTAGCCCCTCTGCACCACCACCCAGGAGCCACCAGCAGTGTCCAGATGGAGCCCACATCCCAAACTCCTACCCCAGTCATGAACCCCCTCCTGTACCCAAGCCCTTATCCTAGCTTTAAGCACCCCTGCATCCAAATACCCTCCCAAAGCCTGCACCTAGAATCCCCTCCTACGTCCACCTGCCCGCCCCAAGAGCGGCTCAGAGCCCTTCTCACACTCCAGATCCCTATCCCAAGAGCAGCTCAGAGCCCTTCTCACACTACAGATCCCTTCATCCAAGACCAAAGCCTGCACCCCCAACCCTCTGTCCCAGGCTGATGAAAGTGAGTGAGGATAGGCAAGAGAGGGAGGAGAGGGAGCAGGGGCGGGGCCTTGCAGAAGGGGTAGGAAGGAAGCGGGGCCAGGGTATTTATATATGAGATAGATCTTGGATTGCACTTACATTCAAAAAGTGATCTTGTGCTTAAAAAGGTTGGAGACCCCTGCTCTGAGGACTCTGCCCCATGTCCCCATTAGGGCCCACAAAAGGTTAACCTGTTTGGGGTGCAGGCTCTGGGATGGAGTTTGGGTGCAGGAGGAGTGTAAGCTAGGGGGAGTTTGGGTGGGGGATGCGGGCTCTGCCCTGGGGCAGGGGATTGCCGTACAGGAGGGATTGTGGATGTGTGGGCTCTGGGAGTTTAGCACCTCAGCACAGTACATAAGAGAAAGGAGCTGCAGTGACTTCATATCGACATAGAAACTGAGAGAAGATGCTTAAATACGCCAAACGTGAGAGGCAGTTTGAGGCAGGAACTGTTTGTACAATATTTCACACTTGTACACATAGAGAGGAACTGCGGTGTCTAAGCATTGACGTCTAGGAATTGGGAGGCCTGTGCCTTTAAGAACTCAAGCCCAGGAGCCAGTCCCCTGCTCCGGGGCTGACATGCAGCATCCAGGGAAGAGAAAGAAAAAAAGCCTTTGCACCCCTTGCAACGCAGTATTTACAAAGACATCAGGTGGCTCGTCCTGCGGAGTAACTTCCCCTGTCTCCCCCATCCCTAAACGGGAATTTTGTCCATGAAAAGGGTCTGATAGTGTCAGCCCCCCTCCCCCCGACTTAACCCTGGCTCCCACCCCCCGATTTTTCCCCTTTAGCCCCTCTTCTGACGCTACCTACAGTAGCTTGATCCCCCCAGCCAGTAAATTTCTGCCCCTTGCTCCGACCATGACACGTCCCGAGCTACAGAACTCTGTCCCCATTCCCCTGTCCCTAGCTACAGAACTCTGTCCCCATTCCCGTCCCGAGCTACAGAACTCTGTCCCCATTCCCCTGTCCCTAGCTACAGAACTCTGTCCCCATTCCCGTCCCGAGCTACAGAACTCTGTCCCCATTCCCCTGTCCCTAGCTACAGAACTCTGTCCCCATTCCCGTCCCGAGCTACAGAACTCTGTCCCCATTCCCCTGTCCCTAGCTACAGAACTCTGTCCCCATTCCCGTCCCGAGCTACAGAACTCTGTCCCCATTCCCCTGTCCCTAGCTACAGAACTCTGTCCCCATTCCCGTCCCGAGCTACAGAACTCTGTCCCCATTCCCCTGTCCCTAGCTACAGAACTCTGTCCCCATTCCCGTCCCGAGCTACAGAACTCTGTCCCCATTCCCCTGTCCCTAGCTACAGAACTCTGTCCCCATTCCCGTCCCGAGCTACAGAACTCTGTCCCCATTCCCCTGTCCCTAGCTACAGAACTCTGTCCCCATTCCCGTCCCGAGCTACAGAACTCTGTCCCCATTCCCCTGTCCCTAGCTACAGAACTCTGTCCCCATTCCCGTCCCGAGCTACAGAACTCTGTCCCCATTCCCCTGTCCCCAGCTACAGAACTCTGTCCCCATTCCCGTCCCCACTCCCCAAACTCTGTCCCCACTCACATCCTGTCCCCAGCTGCAGAAACCTGTCCCCACTGGCACTATGTCCCCTGCTGCAGAACTCTGTCCTCTGCCCTCCCAGCACCCTGTTCCCTCTCCCCTGCCCCCCGCCGCAGAACTCTGTCCCCACAAAATGTATAATTATAAATGCGTCATTTTAGATTTAAATAGCATGAATAAAAAACAGACCATTTATTTCATAACTATAAACACGTGATTTTAATTGTATATATTGCATAATTTAAAAATAAACTGTTTATCAGAGTGTGTAAGTAAGGGCTGGGGATAGCAAGTGATGGACAGGAGGAGAATAGAGAGGGCGGGGCTTCAAGGCAGGGACGGGGCGGTAGATCTTTGTCTGTTCTGAGATTTAAAAGTGATCTTGGATGTAAAAAAGTTGGAGACCACTGTCCTAGTGTAATATAAATGCACATCGTCTGAATGGGGCGGTGGTCTTGATTAGACCTTGACATAACTCAGGGTTATAGTGCATCAGTTTTAAGCAGGCTAATAGAGAGGGCGGGGCTTCAAGGCAGGGACGGGGCGGTAGATCTTTGTCTGTTCTGAGATTTAAAAGTGATCTTGGATGTAAAAAAGTTGGAGACCACTGTCCTAGTGTAATATAAATGCACATCGTCTGAATGGGGCGGTGGTCTTGATTAGACCTTGACATAACTCAGGGTTATAGTGCATCAGTTTTAAGCAGGCTGATTTCTGAACGTGTTAGGATATTCTGTATCTGAG